CGATATCGCCAACCGCTAGCTGACTCCGCCGTTTTCCTCCCCGCCAACCTACACCCCGCTCTTGGAACGACTACACCTCCCCCTTTCAATTTAATAAAATTCACCGGATTTAGGATTGACTCCCTCTTAGGCACGTCCTAGTTAAAGTCACCCAGCACCGGTTCAGCCCTTATTTTCCTAATTCTTTCCACCCACAGGGCCCAAACAGCCCGTGGGGTCTTTTACTTACAGCAAGGAAAAAACATTATGAGAAAAAGAAGGTAAGAGAGAGTGAGATAAGACTTTTCGGTCCATTAAAAGTCATATACGTCCTAACTCAACAGCGCGCGACAGGACTTTGTCAGTATGGCGATCGCAGTGCTTTAGTGGAAAAGGAAAAGAAAGACGACAGGAAGAAACAAAAGAGGAAACGATATGAATCATTCTCTGTGAAAGATAATGGTGCTTCGTAGTGGCTGGGTGACAGGGTGTTAGTATGGTTTTCTGCAAGGACTAACTATCGATATCCTTGCCATTAATCGGTTGATGTTGCACAGTGGCAATCAATGAGTTACGATCAAAACGAATCATCAAACTGTACATGAACGGTTGTCCTCCCCGATGATGGATTAGAGGATAGGCCAAAATTTTTAGTTTTTTTGAAATTGAAATTCCTCGATCTGAAATTTTTGAAATTTGATTTGAAATTTTTTGAAATTTGAAATTGAAAAATTGTAATATTAGTGTGTCAAATCAATCAGAAAAAATACATATGAGAAAGAAGAAAATAATATCGATATTCAGAAGGAATAAAAAAAGCCCACAACTGTAATTGACGTTCCGGCGAAACGTCTTACCTCATTCGTTCTTCCTTCATTTTCTCCTGTTCTCTATCTTATATGCCTTCCTTATTTTGACACCCAAGGTCAACCTTGATGCTACAATCGGCTTAAAAATTTCTGAAAAATATCACAAATCCTCCGTAAAATCAAAACTTTTTCTAACGTTTTTCTTAAAACATAACTATGGTACCTGTTGATTCTTTTGTACTGCTATTTCCCACAGGAGCACGCAAATTTTCAATTGCATCAATTGCAGCTTGTTCAACTTGCGCCAGCCGCAAACATACCAAATCATGACTTGTTTGCGCCTGATGAATCGCTTCGGCCAAGAAATTTCGTGCTTGATTCCTGCAAACAACAAATTTTTTGAAATCGATTAGATTTGAAATTTTTTGAAATTGAAATTTTTTTGAAATTTGGAATTGAAAAATTGAAATTTTTTGAAATTTCAAACAACAAATTTTTTGAAAAATACCTAATACGCATTTGAATACATGTTCTACACTCACATGTGTTGCTCGCAATCGCTTAGACATATTACTAAACATGTCTGCTTAAGATCTACTCTGAAAGATCCCCCTCACCCACAAAAAGGTTATGCCCATATTCCTTCATGCTATAATACATTTTTTCATCCACTACTTATAAATGTTCCCCCTTTTTTACCTAAAAAATTATTAAGCAAATTATTGGTGGATGCTAATTAATGCATAGGGGAGATGTGACTTTGCATATACTCCCCTTTCTCCCTTTTTTCACTTCATTTTCCCTCTTTTTTTCCCCATTTCTTCATTTTCTACCTTACCTTTAAATATATTGAGAGAATCAAGAGAAGAAAGACGAGAACGATGAGAGGATAAAGAAAGACAAGGAAAATGAAGCGAAATTAATCAGCCGATTGCAGCGTCCAGGTTGATCTCGGATGCCAAAGTGAGGAAGGTGTATAAGATAGAAAACAGAAGAAAATGGAAGGAAGAACGAATGAGTTAAAAAAACGTTTCGGTGCATTAAGTCACATACGTCTTAGCTCAACACTACAACTGGACTTCGTCAGTATGACGGTCGTGGAGTTCAGAGGAGAAGGAAAAGGAAGGAGTGTAAGGAAGGAAGAAAGAAAAAAGAAAAAAGAAAAAAGAGGAAGAAAATAGAGAATAGGATTTTTTAATTATAAATTTAGAGTAGCTGAAAGGATGAAATGTTTCTACTGTCAGAGAATGATTCTCAACGCTTAAAATTTAACGATCTATTCTCAAAACGATCATTTTTAAAATGCTGATGATGCGTGCCACAAAAGCATCCAAATCTTCAACAGTATCATCCAAATCTTCAATTGTAGCTTGTTCAACTTGCGCCAGACATAGATATAACAAAACATGAACTGCTTGCGTATGATGAATCGCTTCAACCAAGAAGCTTCAGCCTGTGAACGGCTGTCAAATTTCGGATTTGCATTTTCATCTATACGAACCTCGGCCGAGTCCACTGCACGATTTGCATTCTCATTTTAATGAACAATGTGGAATTGTACGGATTTAAGGATGCGGGGGGGGG